ATAGCCTGGGCTCTAGAAGTGATGGTGAGGGCTCGTGGAAGGGCGAGACACTGGCATTGGCATTTCGACAAAACACCTTATTTGTTTCAAAGAAAAAGTAGGTTCAGTTTTATTTATTTTGCCTCCTTAGGACACTTTGGTCAAATCTGGGGGTTGGGGCGGTGCCACTGACTGTAGTGACCCCTGGGGCGGTGCCACTGACTGTAGTGTCTTTAGGCCATTCCCAAAGGGGGAGGAGGGCATTTCTCGTTCATGCATAGTAGAATTGTAAATGGGCTGATTCATCATGTCACGCTCAGAACTGTGCCTGATCTACAACAGGGAACTGCTGCTTTTTCTTTCCTAATTCTTACTATTGTCATTTCCTTTACTTCTTTTATATGTTTGTCACACTCTTGTGACCTACTATTTCCGGGGTGCCTTGATAGTCGAAGCAGACTTTGTGCTGTTGTAGCTAGAGAGGTGAGCAGAGTAAGTCTGATTGCCTGTAAAGACTTCTCTGTTGACACCCACCCCTTGGCGCCCATATGACCTTATTATGCAGTTGCGAGTGCCGTAAAACCCTATACTAAAAAAACAATCTGGGGGTTTCCAGAAATCTTGACTTACACCAAAAGTGGACATTGCCCTAACTATGGGAGAAGTTTGGTTTCATTGGTGTGTATACATAATGTACATGTATTTGTTTGGTTGTAGAGAAAACTCTCCTTGTCTTTTAAAAAGAAACTGAACAAGGAGCAAAAACGTTACTTTCGATTTTCTCAAAACAGCATTTTTTTCGGGATAACCCCCTTGTGCTTAAAAGCGACCAATTGTAGGAGAGAGAAAAGGCTTTCCCCATTGATATTTCAAGGGTCAATTTTTTTTTAAAGTTTTGTGTTAATCATATTATAGTGCGTGAGCTTTTTTTTTCTTGGCGTGAGACTTAGTAGATCTAGGTCCAAAAGATCATATTAATATTTAACATTTCTTTTTATGTTTGGATTTTCTGACTATTAAATTTTCTAGCTCAACCTTAATATTTTTTAGCTCATCCCCAGTATTTTCTAGCTCATTCCCAGCATTTTCTAGATTATCCCCAGTATTTTCTATCTAATCTCTAATAATACTTTTATTTTTTATTTCTAGCTAATCACGAATATTCCCCACAATTTTTTAGCTTGTTCCAATTATTTTATAGATTATCCCTGTTATTTTCTAGCTCATCTCTTATATTTTCCAGCTATCCCCAGGATTTTCTAGCTCATCCCTAGTATTTTCTATCTCATCCCCAATATTTTCTAGATTATATCTATTATTTTCTAGTTCATCCCAAGTATATTTGTAGATTATCCCTATTATTTTCTACCTCATTTTTTATACCGTCTATGTCATTCCAAATACTTTCTAGGTTATCCCTATTATTTTCTAGATCATCCCTAATATTTTCTAGCTCATCTCCAGTAGTGTCTAGATCATCCCTAATATTTTCCAGCTCATCCCCAGTATTTTTACCTTCCTCCTTAATATATTCTAGCTCATCCGTAATATTTTCTAGCTTCTCCCCAAATTTTTTTCTAGCTCAACCCTGTTATTTTCTAGCTAATCCACAGTATTTTTAAGCTCATGCCCATTATTTTCTAGATTA